TCTCAACTATAATACATCTTTAATATACTCAAAAAAATCTATACTTTAATTTTAGTATTTACCCCTCATGCCTTGAATGCCTGTCTCATTTCATGCTAAGTAATTGTTTGTCCTGTGATCACTGTTCTGCTTTCTGAGGTTTAGAAGACACAGCAGGTTCCTGTGTTTTTCTTCCTCTTAATTATACTTCACTTTATATGGGCCCCTCTGAACAGCTTCTTCACTGAATCTCCCATGTTCCAGACACATTTTGGGCACCACTTTACCCTGGCCCTGCTGAAAGTCAATAGTCCCTAGAGGGGAGCAAGAATAGATGGGACAAGAGATACCAGGGATGGAGACAAGACAGTATTCTCATCAAGTCTTGTTTATTCAAGAGTATAATCCAGGTAAATATAGGGAAAGGGAAAGGAACAAATTCTCCTTGTGTACATGGGTAACTAGGCAACTTACTAGACAACCTAAGTATGTTCTACTGGTCAGCCCTAAAGTCCCTAACTGCAACAGGAAGAAAAGTCAGAATGTTCACACCATGGGAACAATGGAGCAATAAATCCCTGCAGAGTTACTATGTGAGAGATCAGAACAGCATGAGGAGCCAAACACAGCAGGATGTGCAAAACTAAATCAGGGAGCATTAAGTATCCCACAAAATTATGATATTTTATTATGTAGATATGATTTTATACACCAGTATTCCATACTAAATACGCACTGTTGTGATTTTATAGAACCAATTTAACATTGACTTTTCTAATACAAAGGCCTATCAATATTACTGTACAGTAGAAAATAATTCATTTTTCTTAGCCTCCAAAATTTTTTAGTGGTTTTCTCCTAATTGTGTTAATTGTAGAGAGTTTTCCATCTTTTTGACATTTCATATAGGAATGTAATTATGCTAAGCATTTTTCATTCTTTCTTTGCTTTCATTAAGTTTTAATGGGCATTTAAGATTTCTATAATTTTGCCCTTTAATACCCCAATTTTATCCTTTTTTTTTTCTGGAAGTTAGTGTCAATGTTTCCCGTGGGTTAGAGATAAATATTGATGACAGTTTTGGAAAGTAAATTCTTTCAGAAATGTTGCAGAAGAAATTTATGATTCTCTTACCACTATCACCCTAACAATATGGAACAGGATTGATTTTTGCATTTGGTAAATTATTCCTTTTGTCAATTATATATTTGCATATCTAAGAGAATCTATGAGAGAAAATTTAGACATGTCTATACATATGAAATAAGTAATAACTTCTGAAGAGCTAAATTTTGTCAACTTATGACATTTGAAGTAGCTGGAAAAATCACACATTTTACCTCAATATGTTGTACTGCTGTTATTTGAGGTTTTGACATTAACATTTTAGGATGATAATAGAAATTATAGCTATATTCATGGTTTAAGAGACTGACTCTCAGATCCTAATACTGTACACAATTATTTAAATACCTTATTTTTAAGATAAACGGTAAAACATGATTTTATTCATTTCTAAGTGTTATTGTATGGGAGACGTCTGAATGTTGCTCTTATTTGATGTATGTGGATTATAGAAAAACATCACAAACTGTAGTGATCCTATTTTTTTACTTAAGGAGGCAGGCAACAATTGTAGAATCTGTATGAATGCAGAAATATAATCAGAGGAAAGAAAGTAATAGAGTAGTTACTTACATTTAAAAACATCAAAGTCTACTTTAAATAATAACCCTTATGTTATTTTCTGCTTCTTTGTTTGAAAATTAACAGACTCATAGAGGGATCTGTCCATAAACAGGTAATTTGAAATATGAAAACTGGATCTGTTTATAATATATACACGTGAAAAAAAAGTATAATACCATTATCATGTAGTCCCAGTACATGGAGCATGAATGAAGAAATCTCTAAGATTTACTTGCCTGATTTCATACCACATATGGCACAGTTCAAGCTTGTTGTATACTATTATACTAGTACATACAAATAGTAATTGATTGGTATTTATGTATACGTTCACTTTTATTATTGATTCTCCATTGTATGTTTTTATATTTAATTGCTTCATAATGAAATCTAGAGAATATTCTACGGTATTCTGAGGAACTTAATGAATGCAAAATATTATCAGAATGGCTTAAATTATTTATAGAAATGATAAATTGGAATGAAAGATTTTCTCATGTATGCTAGCATTGAAAAGATGCCCATGTCCTAGAAGAATGCCCCATATCAAAACACACACAAACACACACACAAACACAAACACACACATTTTCCCTGAAGTCAGGTGTCCCTGAAAGAGAGAACAGAAAAATGACCTGAGGCTGGAGTACTGATATTGGTGATTACAGGGAAAATCTAGAGAAGGCATTACAGTGAATTTTATAAAAAATTAAATGTTCATATAAAAGTACCTCAAAACATTTCAACACTTTAAATAAGACTATTACTCTGAAATCAATGTCAAAATATGTACACATATGTGAAACACTAATATAAGCATGCAGACAATTGTGAAATTTTATAAATAATACGTATATTGTGTTTTTCCAAATGAAAACATCAAACTGTTGCTAAATTATCATGACATTTTTAGATACAATTTTGTAATTTTTGCACGTTCAGACTGGGTTTTAAAATAACATTCCTATTTAGAAAATATCCTTATTATTACATAATTTTCATGTAAAATACGTACATATTGGTGTAGGAGGGCCTTCTGTTTACATGTTGCTTTCATTGGTTAATGAATAAAAAACCTGCGTAGGCCTTTTAATAGGGAAGAACTTAGGCAGTCAGGGGAAACAAAACTGAATGCAGCGAGAAAAAAAGCAGAGGAGAAAGCTGCCATGGGGCCACCAGAGTCAGAAGTGCTGAATCTTTCCCGGTAAGCCGCTGCCATGTAGCAATATACACATTGATAGAAATGCATCAAATCAAGATATGAGAGTTAGCTGATAAGTGGCTAGAGCAAATGCGTTAAGAAGTATTTTAATTAATATAATTTCTGTTTTGTTATTTTGGGGCTAAGTGAGCAGGATGTCTGGGACGAGCAAGCAGCCTAACCCAGGAACAACTGGCACTCAACGTGATCATCTAAATCTATAAAATATATGAACTACAAAAGGTATGAATAAATACAACTGCTTATTAAAATTATTTTTTCCAAATAGAAATGCATACATATAAACTCACACTCTATACACACTGTGGTAATGATGTGTATCCATTATTACCATCAGAGTTTCAAAAATACAATTTCAGCAATCTCAACCCATTACAACTTGGTGAGCACTAGCAGATCCAATATCATGTAGTCTGGTTATCTTCTGGTCAATCCATTACACAAAACTTTTAGTAAGGTATTGTGGTTTATTTTCTTCCTGTAAACACACACACACACACACACACATACACATACATGAGCTCACATGCACTTGACCCTATATCATAGCGTGGTTTTGTCCTTTCCATAATACATTGCAATGAACTTTTGCTTTAAACATAAGTCTCTTCTACACCATCATACCAAAATCTATGCATGGTATAATGCTTGTGAAAATTCACATTTGAAAATTTAGAATAAAAAGTGCATGATGCAGTGAATTATGTTGTGACTGAAGGATAACTTACATTTATTTATTTATTTATTTATTTATTAAAATTGTTTATTCAAGAAGCCAGGGAGAATGGTCACCTGAGTCAACATTTGACTTGCAACTTCAACATAAAACCTGGGATAGTTGGGTCACTTCTCCCAATTATCTCACTGCATTGCTCAAGATTTTCACTAGACAATTTTAAAATAGGCACAGTCCCTGAATATTTACCAGTCATTTCTGACATTTCTTCAAAGTTTCAAACTATTCATCCCAATTTCCAATTACTGAGTCTTAACTTCTTTAGGAAGAAATATATATCCTGATTGGGAAAGGTGTCTGCATTTGTATTTTTTTGGGAAATGAACTACACATAAGGGAAAGGTTCTGCTGAAAGAGTCCAAGAATTGCAATCAAATTCCTTCATTTTTCATGGACAAATATGATCCATAATGGATAATGTAAACTTGTTGAAAATATTAATAATATTTTGTATTGCATGAAGTACACATATATTGCATAATATTACACTGTTTGCCATGACTTAAGGTAACACTTATCAATGATATCTCCCAATTTGGTCCTTTAATTGGCCAATGGAACACTACATGAAAATCCTTGAAAATATTTTGGAACAAAAAACATGCTAAAAATCAATCTATTAAATCTAAAATATTCTATAGGTACGAATTGGTCCATACCATAATGAGAAGGTAATCCAGTCTAGTCTCTAAAGCTCAACCAATGTGCACGGTCTCATTAACTATTTATAATTCTTCTATCAGTTTCCACTTTACAGATTTCTATGTTGTGAGAGAACATATTTACGTGTTTACTCCGGAATAGCAGCAGCCATAATTAGTCCTTGGGTGTATGAGGTTAAAATTCCTCAACAATATTGAATGTGATCAGAAATGGCACCTTTCTTTCTAAGACATGTCAAAGTAAGCTGATATATTGCATTAGTACTCTCGTAGGATAGCTGTTTAATAATCAAAAATCAATATTCTGGATTTTTAATATTCTTATTAATGGCTGTGTAAGCGTGGAAACAGAATCCTGTAACAACTCAACAGGTAGCTGTGTTATTTAAGGTAAGTCCATTGTCTGCTCTCCCGAAGAAAGAAATTTATTCCAAGAACAACTTGGGCCATATTATTCACAGCTGTGGACTGACTTTGTTCTAAAAACTCAGTTTTCCTTGTCAGGTAGAATTTTCCTGTCAGGCAAGCTTTGGCCATCTATTTCAAGTACCTGGAGTATGGCTTTTAAATCCATTTACTCTAACAGCATGTGTAAAAGGAGACAATTGGTCACACTGAGCTTAAGTTGCTTTTAATACTTTGCCTTGTTTTAATGGTTTCAGGTCTCGTTGTCTGAGTAGATTTCCCTGATCATCTCATTGCTCCATTCTAGAAATACTGGAAATCCCTGAACATGTTTACATCGGCTCACTCCTTCTCTGGAATCTAGCTTGTATGAAAAATTCACAAAAAAGGTGGGTGTTTGCCTTGCTCCAGGAGATCTCTGCAGCGTAGATTGATCTAAACCAGCCACTATGTAAGAAATATAATGTTTTATGACAGAAGATTTTCAGAGACTTCAACTTCTGTGAAAATGAAATTACTAAGTCTCTCAGGCTGTTTAGCTCCTGTTCTAGCTTTCCACCATCTTTAACTCTCAGAATTCCTAGTCAGAAGTGATTGATTTTAAAGATCCTCACTTTGGTATTTGTGGCTTCTTCTACAGCTTACTAGGCTCAGACTGATTGTATCACAGTCCCATAAATACTTCTTAATCTATCAGCTCCTCTGTCTGGAGAGAGTCTTCTCTCACATCTAACGACTTCAGGGGAGTCATCTATGCTGTTCAGAGTAGAAAGCATAACTCTCCCTTTTAAGCACCCACAAATGAAGTAATTTGTGCTGCCAGAAGCAGCTATGTTTCTCTGTTGATAAAATTCTAAGTTCTTAAAACCTTTCAAATGTTATGTTCTTTAGGTCTTTGAAGTGTTGAAGATTATCTATGTAACTGAAATATATCTCTGCATATCTAGAAAAACTAAATAATGTTATTAAGATTTTGATTATTATGAATTACTATCTATTAATCCTCTTAACTATACATGATATTTAAATGATCTGCTAAGACAAAACCTTAACCAAGAGCAGAAATACATATACCAAAATCAACCTTATAAGTTTTTTAGTAAACTAAGATCAAATCCAATGTAAATGGTTCCTTTCTATATAATATCCCACCTTAAATAAAGATCAACATATATGATTATTTGGAAATTTGCATGTAGTTTTCTCCAAAATGCTTCCTATGCTTTTTAGGAAACTTTTTATAGGGTTTCTGGAGGTCTTCTGGGAGCTCATGCTCCTTCAAATAATGTTAGACTGGAAATAATCCACAGGTTCTCATCTTTGGAACAAAAGCAGGACATCTTTTCAAAAGTAACATATCCACCATGTGGAGATGGGGCACACCTTTTATCCCAGCACATAGGAATCAAGAGTCAGAGATAGGTGTGTCTCCATTAGTTTTAGTCTGGCCTGCTATACAGAGCTAGTTACAGGACAGGCTGCAAAGCAACAGAGAAACCATGTCTTGAAAAACCTAAAAACTAATAGAATATCATTAGATTCAAATTTTTATGCATTGATAATATGTTTTCATAAACCATAAGAGCCCTTGAATCAAATGTCCATCTGCCATCCCTGTATGGCATTCAGTAATATATTTTAAATTTAAATATTTAATTTTCTTATTTTCCAACATGACTGCAGCCTCTACTCTGCCTCCTATTCCACCCCTACATTTGTACAACCTCATACTCTGTTTTTTCCACTGTATTCTTACAGTATGAAGGAGGTTTCTCATTGACACCAGAAAGCTTGGCATAACACTTGCCATAACACCCAGGCAAGCTAAAAATATAACAAAATATAAATAAATATCAATAAAATATAAATAAAAATATAAGTCCTCTATATTTATGCAGAAAAATGCAATCCTGCATGAGGAACAGGTTTCAAAGTATCAGCCAAAGCCACAGAGACAAATCATTCTATCTGCCAGCTGTCCCACTAATTGTTCAAGCATTACAAATGTGATAAATGAGCAGAGGAAATACGTGGGTGTCATGATGGCACAGTGATTGTTGGTATATTACACAGTAATTTCTGAAAGTCATTCAAAGTTTGTGATCTTTCTCTTTTAATTTCCAATTTCTGTGGCTTAATTTCTTTTGAATAAGCATATATCCCCAAATATTCAAAAGATGACTATCTTTGTACTACTTTCATTGGGGCAATAACTAACTCTAAAAGTACAGGATTCTGTTGAAGCTGACAATATATTAGAAACTTACTTCATTCATATGGACAAACTAGTCATCATCATTAAAGCATAATATAAAACTGTGGAAATTGAAATGTAAGATTTTACGTAGCCTGAGCCACAGATTTCTGCCATAATATAAACCTATTTGTCATATCGTGAAGCAAGATGTTCTAATTCTATTTTCTAACTTGATATTTGAAATTAACTGATGAAACACTAACTGCAAATTTTTGACAATTTCAGTGAGCCCAGGGGATGGAATGGAAAGAACCTTTTAAATATAGTACAACATTATGGGAATATTTTGGTATGGAAAAAAACAGAAGGCAATGGAAGATGTAAAGCTCCCATTAACTCTCATTAATGGTTTTTAAATCTTATATCAATCTCCAATTTTCGGATTTATTTGTCAGGAGAAACATCTTTAACTGTTTTTTTTTCTCCTGTAACACAGAAGTTATCGCTAGGCACTGGCTATATGAGTGTCCAATATCTGAGGATATTCAAATCAAATCAGAAATATTACTCTTATTTCTAAATGGTCTCAAAGCAAATGAAATACAATAATAGTATTGTTGTAGGCTAGCTTTACCTCTCAAGTATCGAGTTTTGGTGTCTCCAATTAATCTGTTTGGTTACTGCAGCATCCTGAAAGCATTCATCAGGCCCCTGAATTACATGACATTAGTCTTCAGTCTGCTCTTCAGAAGACATAAGTTTTTTCCAGGCCTTCTTGTCATTGAAGTAACTTAGGCATATACTGCTATTTCAAAATTTTGTTGCTGATTTCTTTTTCTATGGTGTCACTCACCAGTAAGCATATGAAAAGAAAAGGGAATTTGTTGGGTCTTATTTCTCAGACCTGTGATCCGACATTTATCTTCATGTTTGTTTTCTACAGCAGATAGACTCCATTTGTCAGGCAAGCTTTGTCCAGTTGTTTCCATTTCCCATAGTGTTAGGCTTCTAAAATTCTGTACTCCAGCAGCATTTGCATCAAAGGAGCATTTGGGCAAAACTGAGCTTGAGTTGCTTTTAATTCTGTGAGTTTTTTGAATGGGCTCAGGGCAAATAAGTTATTATTTGTCTTGCACTTATCTTTGCTCGAGAGATACACAACACAACTGGGTGTTTACACTACTCCAGGTCTCTGCATCATTGCTTGATCTAAACCAGCCCTTGGGTAAGAAGAGGAGTGCTTTTGTGATAAGAGGAGATTTATAGAGTTTCCAACTTCTGTGAAGGTAAATTTGCTAAATTCCTCAAGCTTTTTAGATCCTGCTTAATTATTCCACCAGTTTCTATTTCTCAGCATTGCTCACTAGAAAAAAAAAAAGGCTTGAAAACTCCCTATTCTTGTTCTTAGCAGTTTCTACCTATCGCTCTCACTAGGCACAGGCTGATCACAATCAAACAGTACTATAAATGTTTCCTCATCTAACAGCTCCTCTGGTAGATAGGAGTGCCCTGTCTCAGGTGTAACCATTGCAGGCAGAACTATATTTAACCTATTATGTACAAATACAAACTCACCCTTATGAGCCAGCACAAATGAAAAGAATACTTTGTGTTAATTCCAGGTTATAATGGTCCTGCTTTTTCACCTCAATTTCTCTGTGTCCAAGGGACCATGCTTGGGAAATAAAGGGTAAGTTCCTCAACAAATTCTAAAAATTTCGGTTTTTGAAACTGATCCACCTAAGCTCCTCTAGCTTGTAAATTATCTCCTAGGCAATTGAATAGTCACTTAACTACTGATTTTCTGTCACAATACAAATTTATTTACAATTATAATCTCTTATTTTTCAACCTATGTTCACTTTACTTTTTTTTCCCAAGCACTTTCTATTTATTTACACCTGTGGAATCATCTACCTTTTGGTATTGATCAAGCAATATGTCCATAGTCCATTTTCACTTCTGAGGAGCCATCATTAATTGTCCTGACCTACCCATTTCCATACTTGTGGAAGGGATAAAGATTAAGATAAAAATTTACAAGAAAAACTATAGATATTAAGGGCACACAGTGAATACTGTTATATATCTCAAGTTGATTATTCAAAGTTCATATATATCTCAGTCCAAAAATGTTTTAGGAGGCAAGATTTCCTTGCCATGATACTAAGAACAAACAAATATTCTCTCAAAAATCACCAAACAGGGAGCAACCACACCCTAAGTCAAAATATCATTATTCTTCTCACAATGTCCTATAACAACACATTAAGTCAAATCATCCTACCTTACACGCTTCAAGAAGCAAGTGTAGATGTGAGTAATTGGTGGATGCGGTGAAGGCATCATGGATTTGGTATATCTCACAATAATTTCTGAAAGTAGTTCAAAATTTGTTATCTTTCTGTCTTGATTTCTTATTTCTTATGATTAATTTCTTCTGGGTACAACATATATCCCAAATATTCAAAAGAGAGCTTGTTTTTTCTTTCACTGGGGAAATTACAAACCCTGAAGGGGCAGGATTAAGCTGAAGTTGACAAGATATTTCAAACAAACTTACTTCCTTTATAAGGACAAACAAGTAATCATCCTTTATTGGATGATATAAACTTGTTGAAATTGATCTCTAATAATTTGTGTAGCCTGAGAAACAGAATTCAAGCATAATGTAAATCTTTTTGTCATATCACGAATCAAGATATTCCAATTATATCTTCTAATTGGATTTTTGAATTGACTGATGAAACACTAAATGCAAATCTTTGACAACTTTGAGGAACCCAAGGAAAGAAAACAAATCTTGTAAATCTAAGCCAATGTAATTGGTATCTTTTGCTGTGGAAGATTGAGAAGGCAATAGAAGCAGTATTTACTCTAATTAACTCTTCTTGAATCTTATATCAATCTCCAATTTCTAGATTTCATTGTTAGGGAAAACGTCTATAAATATTTTTTTTCATGTAAAGGAGAAGTCATAGCTAGGACTGATTATATAAGAGTCCAATATCTTAAGATATTCAAATATAATCAGAAATATTACCTTTCATTCTAAATGGTCTCAAAGCAAACTTAATTACTGCAATAGTATTGTCACATGTTTGCTAATCATCTCTCAAATGTCCAGCACTATATCTCCCGTTAATATGTTTGATTATTATGTCATCATAAACAATTCCTCAGGTCCTTATTAAATTTATATTAGTCTTCAGTATGCTATCCACGAGACAGAAGTTTATTCCAGGCATTCTTTTTTTTTTTTTCAATACTGTTTGCTATATCTAACTCTTTTTTAAAATTTATTTTTAATTAAAACTTTCCACATTCTCACCTCCTCATTTTTCCCTACCACTCCCCGCATCCTCTCCCTCTCCAGTCTGAAGAGCAGTCCAGGTTCCCTGCTTTTTGGAAAGTCCAAAATGCTCTCCCCTCCATCCAGGTCTAGGAAGGTGAGCATCCAAGCAGACTAGGCTCCCATAAAGCCAGTACATACAGTAGAATCAAAACCAAGTGCCATTGTCCTTGGCTTCTCAGTCAGACCTCCTTGTCTGCCACTTTCAGAGAGTCCAGTTTGATCACATGCTTCTTCAGTCCCAGTCCAACTGGCCTTGGTGAGCGCCCATTAGATCAGCCCCACTGTCTCAGTGGGTGGGCGCACCCTTAGGGGTCCTGACTTCCTTGCTCATGTTCTCCCTCCTTCTGCTCCTCATTTGGACCTTGGATGCTCAGTCCATTGCTCCAATGTGGGTCTCTGTGTCTAGCTTCATCTTTCGATAGATGAAGGTTCTATGGTGATATGCAAGATACTCATCAATATGGCTATAATATATGGCCATTTCAGGCTTCCTCTCGTCAGATATCCAAGGATCTAGCTGGGAACATCTCCATGGACACCTGGGAACCCCTCTAGAGTCAAGTCTCTTTCCAAACTTAAAATGGCTCCCTTACTTAAGATATATATTTCCCTGTTCCCATATCTGCCCTTCCTCTATCACTATGGTCCCATTCCCCCAAGCTCTCCCCATACTCCCCTTCTCATGTTTCTCTCCCCATCTCCCTTTACCCCCACGCCAACACCACTCCCAAGTTTCCAATTTTTGTATTCCAGGCATTCTTTCCAGTTGAATTAACTTGGGCATATATTGCTATTTCAAAATTTAATTGCTGATTTATTTTTCTATGAAGTCCCTCACCATTAAGCATATGAAAAGAGACTGGAATTTGTTGGGTCAGATATCTCTCATCTGTGGCCCAACAATTTTTCTGCATGTTTGGTTTTCCGCAACAGATAGTCTCCAATTGAAGACAAACTATGTCCTGGTTGCTTTTAATTCTTCAAGTTGTTCAGATAGGTTCATGTCATCTAAGTTTTTTATTTTTCCTGCACATATCTTTGCTCTATTGTTAATAACATTTATGCTATCTCTCCTCAGCTGGTACCTTCTCTGAAACTAGTTTGCTGAAGAGATATACAACTAAATCTGAGTGTTTGCAGTACTCTAGGATGTCTCTACACCATTGATTGCTCTAAACCAGCCCTTGTGTAGGAAGAGCAGTGCTTTTCTGATAAGAGGAAATTCACAAACTTTCCTAATTCTGTGAAAGTGATATTGCTATATCTCTTAAAATTTTTAGCTCCTGCTTATTTTTTCACTATTCTCTACGTCTCAGCATTCCTCACCAGAAGCAAAGGACTTCAGTGCTCCTTATTCTTTTACTTAGTGCCTTCTTCCTATAACTCTCTAGGCACAGGATGTTCATAATCACACAGTACTATAAATGTTTCCTCATCTAACAGCTCCTGTGGAGGATAGGAGTGTCCTATCTCACTTCTGACCATTGCAGGGGGAACTACTTTTTACTTATCATGGTGCAAATCCAAACTCTACCTTACAATTACCCACAAATTAATAGAATAATTTGTGCTGATTCCAGGTTATAATGGTCTTGGATTTTCTCCTCATTTTTTGTGTTTCCAAGATACCATCCTTGGAAAATCAAAGGAACAGCTGCTCTACAAATTCTAAAATTTCTGTTCTTGAAACTGTTACACATGAGGTGCTCTAGCTTTTAAAATATCTCTAAGTGGACCTTGGGAGCTCAGTCCAGTGCTCTGATGTGAGTCTTGGTCTTTATTTCAATCTATTGACTATCGAAGTTTCTACGGTGATATTCAAGATAATATTCAGTCTGCCTATGGGACAAGGCCAGTTTACATACCCTCTGCTCCATTGCCCAGAATCCAAGCTGACATTCCCCGGAAGACTTGGGAACCCCTTTACAGCCAAGTCTCGTGCCAAACCCAAATTGGCTTCCTTAATTAAGATATATTCTTTCCTGCTCCCATATCCATTTTTTTTTCATCTCAAACTTCCCACTTTTCCAAGCTTTCCACAGCGCTCCTCTTCTCTTTTCTCACGTCTTCCTCCCACCCCAATGCTCCCAAATTTGCCTGATGATGTCTCCTTCCAGTTTCCTGGAGGATCTGTATGTTTTATCTTTGGGATCACATTATGACTTAGCATCTCTAGGATCGTTAAATGTAGGCTTAATGTCCTTTGTTTATCGCTAGAATCCACCAATGTGAGAGTACATAACATATTAATATTTTGGGGGCTGGGTAATCTCACTCAAGATAGTGTTTTCTATTTCCTAACTTTTGCATGCAAATCTAAAGATGTCTTTTATTTTTTACCATGGATTACTACTCCTCTGTGCTGATGTGCCACATTTTCTTTATTCATTTTCCATTTAGGGGCATCTAGGTTGTTTTCTTGTTTTTGCAATTACAAATAATGCTGCTATACTCATAGTAAAACAAATGCTTTTGTAGTATGATTGGGCATCTCTTGGGTATATTCCCAAGAGTGGTATTGCTGGAACTGAGGTAGGTTGATTCCCAATTTTCTGAGAAACCGCTACACTTGATTTCCAAAGTGGTTGTACAAGTTTGCATCCCCACAAGCAATGGATGAGTGTTTCTTTTAATTCACATCCTCTCCAGCATATGTTAACAATGGTGTTTTTAATTTTAGCCATTCTGACAGGTGGAAGATGGTATCTCAAATTGTTTTTATTTGCATTTCCCTGATCAGTAAGGAAATTGAAAATGACCTTAAGCCTTTTTCTCCATTTGAAATTCTTTTGTTGAGAATTCTCTGTTCAGTTCAGTACCCCATTTTTTAATTGAGGTATTTAGAAATTTAATGTCCAGTTTCCTTACTTATTATATATTTTGGAGATCAGACCTGTGTCTGATGTGGGGTTGGTGAAGATCTTCTCCCATTCAGTAGGTTGCCTTTTGGTCTTAATGAATGTACTCTTTGTATCAGTTTGAATAATTTTGGCTTCTTTGTTCAAAATCAGGCGTTCATAGGTTTGTGAATTAATATCTGGGTTTTATTCTATTCCATTAGTCACTCTCTCTGTTTTTATTTAAATACCAACCTGTTTTTATTACTGTAGCTCTGTGATAGAGTTTGAGGTTAGGGATGGTAATGCCACTGGAAGTTCATTTATTGTATAGCATTGTTTTGAATATCATGGGTGTTTGTTTTTCCATATAAGCTTTATTATTGTTCTCTCAAGGTCTGTGAAGAATTTTTTGTTATTTTGATAGGGATTGCATTGAATCTATTGATTTCCTTTGGTAGAATAGCCATTTTTACAATTTTGATTCCATGAATCCAA